TTTTTTTTTTTGAGAGAAATACGTGTGATAAATATGTGATAAGCTAATAAACAGTTAAATTGCACGATCACATCATTTATTTATTTTTATTTTAAATATTTAAAATAAATTTTTTTTTTAAACAAAATTATAGACAATATTTTATAGCGATCTGAATGTGTAGTATTAAAACACGGTTATATATCGTTGGCGTAGGAAAAGAGCAATCAACCAAAAAAAAAATTTTTTTCAAACAATTTTATACAATTATTTTTGTTTTTAAACATTATAACTGTTGAGGTATTTTAACTTAAGTTACAACTTTTAACTTTAAGAGTTTTGTCGTTGAAAAACCAATTCTACGAAAAAAATAAAAATATTTGTGGGTTAATATGTCTTAAACTGAACATTTCTTTTAAATTAACGAATAAATAAAAAGACGCTAAATTAGTGCGGCATCTATCCGTGTTAAAAGAAAACTGTTGAAATTGAATGTAGGAATCTATTGCGCATGCGTTGTGACATACCATTTGATGGTAAACATGGATAACAACTGCCTGAGATAGTGTTTTGTTTATTTGTACTCGCTTTTGATTACAACCCGTTCGTACTGAGTGATATCGTTGTTTCTTAATGTACAATTTGGCTGTTACTCATATTTCGTCTCGTATTAATTTGGTTATTTTTTTGTATAATTTAGATGATTAAAGTGTTTAAGTGTTTGTCATATAAAATATAAATTATTCTCATTAGTTTTTTGATTTGTTCAATTTTTTGTATTATTAATTTAATGCCTAATTAAATGTGATGTTCATACTTGTGACCAAAAGATGAATAGTCGACCGTCTTATTATCATAACCCATCATTGTTTTCTAATAATTCTCTAGCTATATGTAAAGAAATTCAACGATTTGAAAGCGTTCATCCGTCTATCTATGCCATATATGATTTAATTGATCTCATACCAGACCCTATTGTCGCTCAACAGATCCGTGATCATGTAGTTTGCATAGAAGGTAAGATTATTTTATCAAATAGTTTTTTAATAATTTAGTTAATTTAATTTACAAATTATATAAGTAGAATAGAAAAAAAATTCTGTACAGAACAGCTTTTAAATTATATTTATTTCAATCTACGTATAGTGTATATGAAGACATTGTAACACTGTACACCTTGTGTCATTCATATAACGATTACAGTAATTTGACATTAAACTTGTGCCAGTATGTTTTGATATATCTTATCATTATTAAAAAAATTAAGTAATGCAAATAGAGACTAATTAAGACTAATATTTAATATCTAATGTTGTATTGATCAAATTACTTTAGAAGTATTAGCTATTATTTAAAAAAAAGTTATTACCTATGTATAGAAATTATTAATTTGAATTATTTAAAGTAATTATACAACCCCTATAGCTAACAATTTATATTATGGCATCAAATATAGTCAAATGAGTCTTAATAATTAGTTTTTACTACTTTATTAAAGAATGTCAAAGGTTAACTTAGTGTAGTTGTCTGTCATTCATGAAAGAACATGAATGACTAGGACCATATTATATGTAATTAACAATTTCTGTTTCTAATTATTTGAAAAATTTATTCTTTTAAAGAATTTTTGTATGAACGTATGTCATATAATTTTATATTAAAAAGTAAAATATTATATTCATATTTTTCATTAATCCTTTAATTTTTTGTTTATATTCCTTATGATACAAAACTGAATTTAATATTATTGTAGTTGATTTTTTTCATATTTGTTGATTTTTATTATTTCATTTATTATAAATTCAAAAAGCTTAAAATGTTATATTTAACATGTATATCATTTTATGCATTTACTGGTTTTTTTTTAAATAAAGATTTTCTATTGTTGATATAAATTATAAAGTAATGCCTAAAATGGAACAAATCGTAAATTGCTCAATTTTATGTACTATATATTTGAAAATGATTACAATAAAATCATGTTATTTTCTTCATTGATTTAATTTAATAACGTTCAAATTTAGTACCAATTTAATAATAAATCAGATCATGTTATCTGGTATCTAATAAAATCTTCCGCTTTTACAAATTGTAACCAATTGACCCAATTTTTCGTATTTGCATTTTCAATGTCTCTTCTGTGTTCTTCGATCGACCCCAACACAAAAACCGGTTGCACGTCCGCGTTGTTGACTTAAAAACAAAATTACAGTAGGTACGATTGGTATTCACGAATTGACTGTGTGCGTTATCATACACAATCCATATATCAAATAAATTTCTTGTATAATAAAGATAATATTAGGTATTAGGTTTTGTACAAAAAAACATTGGTTTATAATACTAACACTATGTATATTAGTCTATGTAAGTTGTAGTTCAGTTCTGAAGTTCGAATAAAAATTAAGTATAATTTACGTAAAAACTTGTCGCTTATAAATATCATGAAATGCAAACTCTAAGCCAATTCTTTAAACACGAAAATATATTTTGAAAAAATATTATAAATTTAAATTTAAAAAAAAAAAGTCAATTTAAAAATATCGCATTTAATCTTAACATGTTAAAAAAATGTTTTTTTTCCTAGATATGCTATAGGTGTTTTTTTTCATCAGGTAATTGACAACAGTGTAGCTAAAGTAAATACATATGTAACTTAGGTAAATATTATTTATTTTAATTTTCGTTTTATTTTAAATTTAGATTTTACACACCTACTCGCTGTTTATTATTTAACAGGCATTTTATTGGAGTAATTTATTCATGGTTTATATAAATAAAAAGTTTTGGCTAGTTTTATAAAAGTTTTTATAAAAAGTCTTATAAAAAATACTGTTGATATAAATGCAAAATTAAGAGTTAAAAATGTGTTTATTTTAATTAGACTGGGATCCTGAGCCATTTTATATTATTATACCATACTTAAGTGAAGGATTAATATAAATATATATATACATATATTAATACCATAATTGACTTTACCAGGCCCTAGTTGACTTAGGCCGTAGTTCTGCCTGTATCTTCAGTAAATCGTGATAAACAAAACATGTACGCTTATTAATATTTATTTATAATTACAATTATCAGTAAATTGGTAATCTATTTATAGGTACAAAAAATTGCGCATTTAATTTTTTTTTGAAATTGTTAAATTTTAGTTGATATGGTGACAATAGAAGTAAAATTTACATATTATAATTCTGTTTTTTTCGCCATAGCAACGATCTAAAATAATTTTTGAATGATGTTTAAATAGGTCTGTAGAATGCTTTCAAAATGAAAAATGTTTAAAGGAAATCTTGAATTTTAGCCAAAAACATGAAAATGAGTTTTTTAAATCATTATTTTAATTAGAATGAAAAATAAATAATTTTTTTTTATTCATACAAATAATTGTAAGGCTGGTTATTGGTTAATTTTACGCTGAATTTCAGTTTAATGATAAATTTTATTGTTGGTAGATGATATAGTTTAGATGAATGTTACATTATTTATTAATTTATATACATTTCATTATATTAATAGTTTTAATCGAAGTTGAAACTATGAGTGGAGCTGTTTATAAGTTTTTAAAAAAATATGATATAAATTTATTAATGATAATACTTCAAAAAGTTAAATGCCTAAATAAGTTTTTTGTGTAGAAAAAATGTTGATTTCTGATGTAGTACAGTACATAAATTTATATAAAAGATAACTACTATATAAAAAAAAAAAATTTCAGCAGTAAAATAACGAAAAATTAATTGAATTCACAATATGTGCTATTAAATATTATTCTGTATCATTTTAAATTGTATCGTCTTATCAAATAGTCAATAATAAAAAAATACAAAACTACTTAAGGTTTTATTTCATTTAAATAAATTGCTTCCTGTTCATAAGTATTACGATCTATAGCCCACTCCTTTTTCAATCCAATGACATTCAAACATCCTTTAATAGGTGTAGCTAAATATTGTCTCGTGTATTGAGTTAAAATCAACTTAAAAGGATTTGTATTGATATTTCAGATTATACACAAATCTACTGTTCATGTGTACATAAATCGGTTCTTTTGAAATTCTAATTAATATAAATTATTTAAGTAAACAATTTTCAGTTTCTACATAAAATAAAAAATTCCAAATATTTTGTTGTTATTGTAGAATATGTATGTATATATTTTTTCAATACTCCTTGAAATTTTGCTAGAAACACAACTCGAAAAAAATAGTTAAATTAAAAATTGTTTATTTTCAACTTGATCATAACATTGGTTTTTAAAAGTAGTTACTATTTATCCTAGAGTCCGTGAACTATACTATTATGTGGGTGACATGTGGGTAGAGGAATTGTCTGATATCAAACTGCTGCGGATGTTTTTACGGGTTGTTAAGTATCTTGTCGATGACGAATATTTGTAATAGATCTTCGGCTCCCACTTGAATGATGAATTGATATATTAATATTTTTCATCGTGAAATTGAATTAAAGATTTTTGCTAGATTATTTCAAGTCTAATCCTATTAATGCATTGTACATTATATTTCAACTCACAAGTGTTATAATGATGTAATTGAATGATAAAATGATGCTTTTCCTAATTGACAGCTATAAAGAAATTTTCTAAATTTCTTTACTACATAAATTCTACACAAGTCAACTCAAAATTTTTTGTTTGAGATTCTAACAAAACTTAAAAATAGAATTAAATTTGGATAGTTATTCTTATTCTGTAATTTTTAATACATTACATTGATGTTATAGTAAATTTCCGTTCCCGCAACTAGAATTGTCTATTTTTTTTAGGATAACATATTAGTATACTGAAATATGCGGGTCCTATTGGATTTATTTTCAAAAATGCAGGTGGCTTTTCTTTGTGGGATATTCTACCCGTGTTGTATGAGGAAAGAATTGTTACAACGATGTCCTATTTGCAGCTAACAATAGTGGCCTCGGTGTAAAAACACGAAATCGTGTATAGCACGAGAACTATTGCCGCTGAAATCTCGGTGAACGATATACTTAGTATTTGTACCGTTACGGCTGGTCGAACAAAAAAATAATTACAAATAATACGATGGAGTCGTAGTAATAATTCGCTTCCGAGGAAATGTGCAGAGAATTATATGAATGATTACCACTCAAATAAAAAAACAGCCTGATTAGACGCGTAGTTAAAGAATAATGAATTGGCTGTGGGTGTTTATAAATTATCATTCTGTTATGCTATTATTTATTTAATTTTTGTAAAGAACTACAGTTAAGCTGTTACCGCAGTAGGTTAAATATTTGGCTCATCATCTTTTAGAAAATAGTAGGCATAAAGTTGAACAAGTTGTAATTTCAGGTATTTGATCAACTATGTTCATAAAAGACGACTTGCCTCTCTAAAAATATAGCGTTTAACTATGAAAAGATCTATTCAAAAATATAGAATAAAGAATATATGTTAGTTTGACCTTTTTCAGTGTATAGAACTAAATAAATTTTATTGCGATTGGCTATTTATTTGATTATTTTTATATCCCGAATAATATTTACTATTACTTTTTATTAATTTCTATGAGTACTAATAAAAATTGTAGAAAACTATTGACACTAATAAAAATTTCTCACAAAAATATAAAACTAATTCTAATATTTATCTTCTTTGTCAGTCAGTAATTGTTCTTAATAAGTTAAAATTCAATTAACAAAGTAATTATTTATAATGAGCATAGCTCGCATTTCTTTTCCTGTCTAGTGATTTATTCTTTTAATATATCTACTTAAATTGTACCTAAGGCCGTGTTGGCGTGTGGTTTCAAGATTTTTAAACTGTTACGATAAAAAATTCAAGTGTCATAGATTTAACACTTTAATATTATTTTTAATAATTTCGAATTAAATTAAAATTTGTATTATTTTAAATTACTTTTAATTTGTCTGAAAAACATATTTCATTTTCAATACACTTTTAAATAAATTAGAATGGCATACATAGTGTTAATAATCATTGTTTTCATTTTCATTTATGATTCATCACTTGT